GATTGACCTATTTGCTGTAGTTACTAACCGAAGGTAAAGATTGAGCTATTGCTCCAGTTGCATAACAATAGTAATAAATAGTTTTACCCTACCCTACGAAATAAACTACAGTAATAGACATTTTCCACCGTGAAATAAACTAGGGTATTAGGTAAAGCAGCTGCAGTGTTCGATGATTTTACATTGTAGAGATGCACGTAGTGATAAATCATATGCCTGAAGAAAACATAGTATTTTCACAAGCATCGTGATTTCACGAGTCTATCACATTCCACCAACTATATCAATTGTAAAGAATATATAGTATCAAACATTCAAGCATTTTCTTTTATAAAAATGAGACTAAGTTCTACCACTTTGTGACAACAAAATATCATCAAATATTATGAAACTAATTCTTCATTCGCTCCTCTCAATCCACGATACCTGCGTCAACTAAATAATGGTATCAGATGACTTTCAACTCAGATTCGGTATGTGATTGAACCTAATCTCTGATCAAGGAAGAGATGTGAGACCGTCCCACACAAAGAAGCATCGATCATGCACCAAAGAGGAAAGAATCCAAATGCCAGCCCAAAAGATTCTTGCTGGTAGATCCGTGCATGGAACAGATGGGGAATACTGAACGCAGACCAGGAACCCCACCGGTTCTGCGGTAATCCTGGGCTCCCTGCACCAGTCTCTCATACTTAGTTCTCAGGTGAGCAGGTAAGGCAGAAACCTCAGTTCTTACGAGTCTCACTTACTTGCAACAGCTACCATTTTTTCTCGTTTTAGGTAGTTGAGCTCAAGTAGATTGGAGTTGTTTGAGCTCCATCAACAAATACCTTTGACATACTTGTTTGTTCTTACAGGAGATCTGTGACTATAGAAAGAGCTTACAGCTGATTCCTGTGTGGTCAAGATATTAGAACTGTTAGCTCTATCTTTTGATGAAGCAATCATCGATAGATACAGAATCTAAATAGCTCTTTAGAAGAGCTGATGCCACTGATAGTGTATCATGCGCGACTCTGACAATACGATGCAGATAGATAGAGAGATGAAGAAAGATTGCAACTGTTGCTAGCTCAAAAAGTTCTCATCAAGGTGGCAGACGTCGTCAGAGAGAGAGAGAGAGAGAGAGAGAGAGAGACGAAGAAAGAACAAACACGTTCTCGTCAGGGTGGCAGACGGCAAGAGAGAGAGGGAGGAACGTCATAACATAATCTACGATAGATCTTACACGTTCGTGGCATAGTTTCGCTGCCGCCACACGTGTGTCGTCTGTCGAAGTCGGTGCAATGCGTGCCAATTATTAGGCAACACAGTCATTGCTGGGCCTCATACGAGTCGGATTTCGCAGATGGCTCTTTTTGTATTCCTGTCATTAATAAAGCCATTTTTGGTGACACCGTCGCGCTTCATCTCGTCAGTCATATCCCAATCCCCTTATCTCCTTTCCAAGAACACTAATAAAAGGAAACAGCAATCTAACTCGCTGTCTTCCAAGAACAATAATCTTCATGTAGATCTGTCGTAGTCAACCAGAAACATGCCTCTTGGAGCATCACTAATCTTCATGTAGATCTGTCGTAGTCATCCAGAAACATGCCTCTTGGAGCATCAGAGCTCCATCGTGTGCGACTTTCACACGTACCACTTTTCACAGGTCTGCCCATATACAAACACTCCGATCACTTGGAAGCATGCACTAAGAGTGGCTTTGTTACATCCCTGTCACCAGCTGGGGAATCCATTATTAACACTGGCTTCCGGTGGTTTCCTCTCAGAGATCTAAGAAGCCAGAGTTAATTTCTCATGTGATCCTGTGAGAGGAATGCACAAGATGCCCAGATAGGATCACTCACTAATGGAAGCTGAGCTCGTCCTCCCCTGTGCTGGTGCTTGGTGGACCACGAACTCCCATGCTTTCTGATTGCTGCTGCGCATCAGATGTCGGAGCACTGTAGCAAAAGAGGAGCAAACAGCGCTTTCACGGTTCCCACAGCTGCTGCTGCGACGAGTGGCTTTAGAATCGCCGGAGGATCTTTCTGTGTCAGACACACTGAAACCTCCAACACGCAACGGGCGCTTTCTTGTTGCTCCCGTGTCTCATTCTTCATCTGAGAGACACTACTGCTGGGCCATTAAGCGTATGAATCTGAGTTCCACACCATCTTACTTTCAGATTTAATTGGCTCAGATCTTGATTAGATTTGGGTACAGCATACATATAACTTGCTGTTTTCCAAAAGTCCAGTTAGGTATATATATATACATATACATATATATATGTATACATGCATATATATACATATATATATATACATGTATATATATACATATTTATATACATACATATATATATATATGTATATATACATATATAAATATATATGTATATATATACACACATTCAGTCAACTGAGGACAAGTCAATCCATGTCCATGTGAGCCTCATCTCAAAGGCTGGTGAACTACACTGTGGCCCTATCGGATGCCATTTTTATAGATAATTGACAGTTGTAAAAGCACTCCAGATTTGTATTCTTCATGTACCAGTTGAAAGATGGGAAGTAGTGGTGGCAATGTTTTCAGTATTAATTCACCGCAACAAATCCACCATTAGCATGCTTAGCCATGAACATACATCCGCGTTTAACTCTCCCCGGTCCAATGATGGAACACATCACTCTTAGAAACATGAGCTGCATGTTCTAACCTGTAAATGATGAAGTGCATGACATGCATGAAGGGACTTAACCCAACGAGCTTGGGAGCAAGGAAAAGAAGAAGAGGAGTGGTTGCATCGAGTACAATAATTGCGGGAATGTTGGATTCTGCATTAATATCAGATCCCTCTGGTAGCCAACGAAATCAATGAATCATTGTACGTAGTACAGAAAGGATTTCTACTCGAAGTTGTACGATGGACATGTTTAGCTTCTATGCCTTTGTCCCCCCGGTACGTACCCACCACACACATGGGCGTGATGTCTCCTTCCTGAGTGTTGGCATTTGCATTTGGACACGAACAAGAAAGTTTAGGGTGTGTGTCTCTCCACTCTTTCTACCAAGAGAGGGAAAGAAGAAGCCCAGTTCTTAGCAGTAATCTCATCATATCTTGTCCTTCCTCCCATTCAATCACTACACAAACAAACGTAGAATCTTATCTTTTTCACTTGTACAACAGCTTTGTCTACACTGCTTCCCCTTCTTGCCAACTCTTTCTGGTTTCTCCAAGAAGAACCACCTCCACATGGCATTCTTTTCTTGATTCACATCATAAGAGAAACCAATTGATGATAGTTATGCTTGAATCAGTTAATCCAGTTTCAGCTGATTCCATGTTCTACTTTACTTCCTTCTGTTCCATGACAATGAGAGCATGATACATGCAGTATATTGCGTTGTATAAGGAGGTATCTGCGTTTGACACAAATCAATCTGCATGTGACTACTGTTATGGAGAAGTAGAGTGACAAGCACAGAACAAATAACAGACAAATTTAGATGAATAGCTTGAAAGTCTACATCCATCCATGCACTACAGTATTATGATAAGAATCTCAACTACACTCAAACTAAAGAGAGAATGCTAATAAGAAAAGATTAAAGTAATTAAGGACAAAGTAACTCAGGACCATCACAAACAACCATATAACCATAAAAAGAATATATCTTCAATGGTCTCCATATCAATCTCAGATATAACAATGAAAACTGGATAAGCCCTTCATCTATCTATACTATTTAGCCTAAAAGTCCTTACAACAAGGAAGACAGAAAAAGAAATGTACATCAGCAATAATAGAAAATGTAGACTATCTTGACTGCCCCTCTCTTTTTCTGTCTATCTTTCGAGGATACATAAATCCAATGTTTCTAGCAATTTTGAGTCCGGTTTTCTTATTTCTCACAAAAGGTTCCATTTTATTCGACAAGCCCTAGCTTTGCAGGTAGGCAATCATGAAACCTCATCGGACATGGAAGATCCCAAGGAAAAGGTCCTCCGAGTGGAATGACTTATGCCAAAAGGTGGAGTAAATTAAAGGAGGTTGGCAAAAGTTTGGTCTTGCGAGTAACCATGATTTTGCTTAAAGGGAACAGCAAGTAGGATTTAAGCAGGTTGGCATGGAGAAATGATGCACTTTCACTGGATACTAAGAGGCATTTATTTCAGACAGGCGCACAAGGGAAGAACAGATAACATCTTTTTAGACACATGACAAATAGCTGGACTCTATTTTCTTTCATTTTTTCCTTTTCTAAGAAGAAAGCTTGCTCAATCTATGTGATAATACGTAGTGGTGATCAAGCATGACCATCAATGAGAAAGTGATCCAATTAGCAGAGAGAGGACTCTGGTGAGTGCCAATTAGCAGCATAAACTGAAGAAAGAGAGATATATAACAGCAGCATACTGCAATGATACCCTGCATGAAATGTCGTAATAATTCAACCAAAAAGCGCAACAATCAATGCAGACCAATCTACATGGAGTACATGATCTCGCTACAGTTCAAAGACATAAAAGATCAAAGAAGCAAGGGAGAAAACCCTACGTGAAGGCAGGAAGGCACTTGTCGATTGTGTTCACAAATCCAAGGTTTCCCATGCAACGTGCGTACGTTATCCCCTTGCTGCCTCCCTCCTCCCGTTAGAATATAGACCAAGCTAGGGTTAGGGTTTCTAGCCAAGATCAGATATATATATATATAT